CCCTGGGAACCTCTTGAACCGCTGCCATCAGATGACTGTTACTTTAGGCTCAGCAGAATTAATCTGATCATACAAGCTGATGAAATGCAAAATTCTCATAGTTCATGTACTTTATGTTACTGAAATATTTTATTACTATTCATTTTAATCAGGATGAGCCATGTTTCTTCCTTTTAAAACAGGACTAATTACCTCTCCACTGTCATCCTGGTCTTTATCAGACGGAGGCAAGAAAGTCTAGCTGCAGACCTGCACTGTCAGGAACCTGCATTGTCAGAACCAGAAGTTTATTCAAAGCCTTTTTTTAAATAAAAGCGAAGTAAAATAAAAGACCTTTAGATTTTTTTTCCAAAGTGCCTCACGGCACTATGTAAATAAACATGATGAATTTGATTTAATTATTCACATTTTCATTAAATTAAAGCATCAGGGCTCACGTTTAATTTTTGACATAACTGACTTCAGAACACATCCAAATGGTACAAAGCAGCTATCTATATTCATATGAAATGTGCAAAACATTCTTGTATTTTGAACTGTAAATATTTATAACGTAACAGATCAGTGAACAGATGAAGAATACAGTTTGATCATGTAACTTTAAACATTTAACAAAGCTCTGCAAACTCAGAGCAACTGTCTGATGAAATGTGCAACAAACAGATTTATATACAGTATTTATCCCTGACTGGAAGCTTCTCACTAAATCGATTCAGTTCAATAATTTGGTTTATAGCATCGCAAGTATGGGGGTCAGCCTGCAACTCTGCTGAGGTGGTCAGGAAGCCTTGTTTGCTTTAACGACCTTCAGCTCACTTGATGCACTGAATTAGAATCAGATTTATTGCCAAGTAGGTTTGCATTTACAAGGAATCCGACTTGGTGTTTGACACTGGTGGCTATGTTAGACCTCTCTCCTTTTTATCCTGCATGAAAGACGACAGAACCAAATCCTCCCTAAGAAGGAAATCAGGATCTCTGTAAAGGTTGTCAGAGGGAAGCATGAAGGTCTCTAACATTTTCTGTTGGAGAGAAACTTCATGCTGGACCCTGACCAACATGGTTTCTGTGATTCTTCCTGCAGATAACAGTACCTTAATTTCGAATTCCCATGAGCAGATCTACAGAGGGTGAGAGGGGGCCGACTGTGCTGTGCTCAGTGGCGGCTCTGGACCACATTTACCAGGGGGGGCAGTGATTTTTGTTCATTGGCACACACAAAAAAAGAAGAAGCAAAAACCAAGGCAAAATTTAATCATTCATTAAATGAGTCAATTGGCCAGTTACAGCCTTGGAAACCTCAAATCTAGCAAATGAAAACTGTGATTATATTTCAATATGACTGAAGCTAAAAACACAGCGTTTTGAAATAATCTAAAAAATAATACTTAAAAAAAAAAAAATTTGTACAGTTGTGGTTTCTGTTAAAGCACATCATTTATTTTCTATTGTGACTTTGGTACAGCTGCAAGAAAAGGGGCCACAACTAGTACTGCAGGGGCGTTGGCCCCTGTTGGCCCCCGTCTATAACCACCTATGCCCCTGATATAATGTCATGCCCCCACATTTATGTCATTTAAATATTTACAATTGTTTGTTGATTCAAAACCAACTTAAAGCCTTCAAATGAAACATTAATCATTTACCAATATGTATCCATCCCTCTATTTTCTGTCACACATGTCTACAGGTGAGAGGTGGGGTACACCCTTGACAGGTCGCCAGTCCATTGCAGTGCAACAAAGAGCCGGAGTACCCGGAGAGAACCTACGCATGCTCAGGGAGAACATGCAAACTTCATGCAGAAAGACCCCAGGTCGGGAATCTAACCCGGAACCTTCTAGCTGCATGTCAATATGTATAGTATATCATATTTATTTTGAAATATATAACATAAAAATAATACATTGGCAGCCTTGGGAACAAGATTTGTAAATAGAACTGTTTGTGGGAGCTGTGTGAATGTGATAAGACCTTTCTTCATATTGCTATAGACTTCTTGCTGTAATTAGTGGGCTATTTTTTCTAAATCTTGAGTCTCAAATATTGCAGATCACAATGAGTAGGATATTTATTTCTAGCTTCTTTGGCAAAAAGGTGAGAGATGAGAAATAGGAAAAGACTTAAATCAGAGAAAGGAAGAATGATAGAAAGACTAGGAGGCTCACGGTAAAAGGGGGCCATAAGTAAGGAGGAGAAAAATAATGTCAGCATAAGCAGTGAAGATGAGAGGATTTCAGAGAACAGTATAAAGGAAATGGATTAAGAAGAAAAAGAAACACAGAATCGGGGAATCCAGCCGATCTGACTGAACCACATTAATGTATTTATTCTTTTTTTCAGTTAGCCTATACCTAAAAGTTTTCTTTGTTTCTTAAAAGAAAAAAATGACACAGCAGGTTTTTTTAAATTGTTTCTTTTAATGTTTTGTCGATTCCATTTACATACATGAGATTTTTTTACCTAGTTCAATAAAGAAGGTCCAGCTTTACCCCCCTGTCTGCACCATTTGTACCTCCTTTGCGCCCCATGTAAAATTTCTCTAGATCCGTCACTGCATTTTACATTAAAATAATAATAGTTGAGCTTTATTAAGATGTTCTTGTGCATATATGCTACAATGCATCGTGCACATGGGGAGTTATCTACCAGTATCTGGCCTCCTTCAGGTTCTCTTGTGTTCAAAAGCTGTCAGTCAGTCAGAACGGTGTGTGCAGACACAACTTCTTTCTTTTTTGGTTCAACACAACACCTAAACATCTTGCTGTTCTGCTAAGTCTCCATGGAGATGCAAACAGAGGAGCATTTTTTCCACTGCAGCTGACAGCTCGCAGTACGCACTGTCAGTGAATCAGGCATGGCCTAATTGCCACCTCCAAACGGCAGACTGCAAAAATCCTCAGAGCTTTGAACTGGAACAAACCCAAAGCATGAAGGTGCAAAAATATATTTCTCACGACTAGAAAACTTTAAAAGCGATACTCCTGGTTTTTGAAACACATGGCTGCAGACATTTTCCAGAGTTTTTCTTTCCGGGCACTCATAAAAGCCCAGAAGTATCCAGTGGATAACTCTATACTTACACTTCTGCTGTAATCCCCATAAACATACATGCAGCTAATAATTTGTGCGCACAGCAATTTACTAAGTAATAAACAAACAAGAAAGAGCCTGAAATCAATAGTTGCAGGATTGCGATGACACAAAGGTGCAGACGCCGTCCCTGCGCAAAACACACGCTTAGAAGTGGCCCCAGCTTTAAAGCAACAGGTGAGCTTCGCGGCACCTCCCCTGTCTTTCCCAAGCAAGGCCGGCTAAATATAGAAATTATGCTCTGTGATAATTGGGGGCAGACAACAAAGCCAGCAATATTTCCAGCCTCCTCCTCCTCCCCCTCTGTTGCTGCTAAAGTCCCATCTCCAGCTGGCAAACAGCAGGGTCGACATCAGAGTGCGGGAGCTTGGGTGTTGAGGGAACACCTGCGCTGGCTGCCTGGCCTGTGAAGATAGACAAGGAAGATCACTGACTTCCACACCTGCCCCCTGAACCCACACCCGCAACTGTGTTTGATATTTGCACACACACTTGGTTCGGTTTCCTCGACGGGCTGAGGAGGCGATGAAAGTCGGGGAGTGTCCGTTAAGTGTGGAGATCAGGGGGGGTGGGGGGCTTAAATGTTTTCTGCAAGAAGCCAGGGACCACCTGCAGGAGGAGGAGTAATGGAGGGAGAAAAAAAGCATCTGCAGACTGTAAAAACACCATTTAAACAGGTACCAAAAAGCACTGGGCATCAGGTATCAGATTTGCAGTGTGTTTACAGAGATCCCCCAGAAAATGTCAAAGGAAACAACATGCAGGGGGTGAAACCGAGAGAAACACGAGGCAGTGATTAATGGAGATTTCATCAGCTTGAAAAGCCGCAACAAAAACTGCTAAGTTAAAAACAACTGTCTAAAAAAACACTGGAAGGCTTTTTGTTTTAAAGATAAGGTGTGTTTAGATGATGGACGGGGGATGTCCGGGTTATTATGCACTCCTGGATGCTGCCATTAATCGACGGCAGCAGTCAGAGCTCAAGGTGTGCTGGTGGGAAAGTCCCACAGTGTCAATCTGTAGGCAGGAGAGAGTTGGTAGCAGAGCTGCCAGCCCATATGGAGACACCCCACTGACTCACAAGCTCACAGATCACACACAGAGCTTTCATGCTTCAACATGGGTCTGCTTCCAGGTGTAAAGGAAACTGTGCACGGGCAAGGAGGAGAATGTAGCTTCTGCATGAGATAAATGACAACTCTGACATGAAAAGGCAAACATGGCCTACTTAGCCAGGTCTCATCTGCCCCAACTTCCACTGCTTAATACGATGTGTCAACAATGGCTCTCTAACCGTCTCTTTAATCCTTATCGCTCTGACCTCCACTTTTATTCATCTGCTTAAGTTGCAGGGCCTCAGCTAAAGGTCAGATTTTATTTGGCTCTGATCGGGCTGTTGCGTGGACTCTTCGTTCACAGCGTCCCGCTTTGAAGTTTTTTTTACACATGCACCGAGTCTGCCAGCATAACGGCATCCATAAAGAAAGACAACACTGCTCTCGTTAGCCGGTTTATATGTTTAAACTCTGAAAGGCAAAGTCAACCACTAAAACAGAGCTCTTTAAAAAAAAAAGTCTGTTAAAAGTTAAAGGTTTGGTATTTTGACAACAGCATTGGTTTCTGAGGAGGAAGGAACAAAAGTTCATTCTGACCCTGAAAAGGATTTTCTCATCGGTCAAGTTAGTTTATGGTTTTCTGACTTCAAGTTTCCAATAATTTCTAGAACCAGGGATGCAGTTTGTAGAATTGATGCCTTGCAGCCATCAGGTCCAGGTTTCCACTCCTGGATTAGGGTCTTCTTGCATGTCCCCCCCAGTAAATGCATGGGTTCTCTAGCTTCCTCCTACAGTCCAGAAACATCACCGTTAGGTTAATTAGCATTTCTAAATTGCCCAGAGTGCGTGTGTGTCCGTGTTCCCCTGATATGGACACACCTGTCCAGGGTGTTAATGGAGCTGAAGTGGGGAACACCGGTCAGGTCTCCAGTCCAGCATAACTGGTAAGTTTTTGGACAATGGAAGGAAAATCAGAGGATCCAGTAAGAACCCATACATCCACTGGGACAACATCCAGACCAGCAATCTACCTTTAGCAGTATCCCTGCAGCCTACAAAGGGATACATGATCTTTGTTCTTATTTTTTTTTTTTTACAAATCAAAGCCAATGCATCGATTCTGAAAATCAGTCCCCTGAAAAACAATACGAAGCATTTTACCTTCAGACATTGTTGCTATAATGTGCATATCTAGCTGTTTTGTGAAGCCCTAAGTTGCTAGACACCCATATAGAGCAGGATTGGGTTATAAGATAATATCTGAGCCTCATTCAGCTCCAAAATTGATTTTTAATCTTTCAACTAACAGCATAGGAGCTTATATGAGGGAATCAGCCTGTAGTGACTCTGGAGGAGCCGCACATAATCTACAGAAAGAATATAAATCTTAAAAGTGTGGCATGCAACTGGAGTTTACACAGATTCTATAGTGTATGTTAAACATTGTTGGTACCAAGCTACGTCAGAGCTTTGAAAATAAAAGCGAATACATTCCATCAAACCACTCATACAGTTTAAAGTCTTTAATGAAATGCAGGAAAGGGATAACAGAATGTTAAATACCCTCCCCCAACTGTTTCTGGGCACTGGTGGTCAGCTGGCTGAAAATAGTTCCTTTCTAATAAAAATTACAATGTTGGCTTCTTGGAAATATTTTAAAATGGCGAAATCCAAAAACAGTTAGATTGGAGCCCAAAATGACACCATATTTCTAAAACTTTGAGGAAAATAGAAAAAAAAATTCTTAATCAACACTCTTACTTCAGGTGCCTATTTTATATTTTTTATGACACCTGAAATAAAGCCAAATTGCTTTTTAAAGTGGGAGGAAAAATTATCCTTTGAAGTTTGCCCTAATTTCACAATTAGTTTGAATCATCTGAGGAATAATTTCATGATAATTAGGGTAGTAATATAGTTTTTACTGAAGGTGATCACATCTTACAATAGAGTGGCCATTAAATACTAATCCAAAAAGATATACAATAAACAATTAGGATAGAAAACATTTCAAATTTGGATAGCTTTTAAAAGGTTTTATAATTTGGATTTAATAATAGAGTAGTACTGATGGTTATTTGTTTTAGGATAAAGATGATAAAAGTACAGTTTCTCACTTTATATAGTTGACATTGTTCCAAGTGGGCTTTCCTAGATTCTACTTGTAAAAATATATTCTCCAATAAATAAATATATAAGATAAATATGTGTATCTAAAAATGAATAAATAGACTTTTACACTTCTGCAAATGTCTCCAACAGGTTTGAAATAAAATGTAATTCCTTCAAAGTCCTTCTCAACAGACAGTAGTTCTCGCTCAGACAGCGCCCCGGAGAAACCTCCTGGGATGGCCGCAGACTGCGGAGACGCTGCGTGACCTCTCAGCCTCGTCTCCCCAGATGTTACCTGTTCTCTGCAGGTACTTTTCTGGGATCGTCCAGCCTCTGGAACAAACAAGCCCCTCATGCCGAGGCATTCTAGGCCTGTCGTCTTGGCTGCTGAGAGATGGCCACTGTACATTCCTACATGAGGCCCCCAGTGCCTTTACCCCCGCTGGTAGAGGTCCTCCAGCCAGCGCTCGGCATCGTTTCAGCCTCTTTTTGTCGATCGGCTCCCTGCCTAACAGGGCTGTAAAGCAGCTACTCCTGATCTGGGACTTTGCGTCTCAGCTGTGTCCCAGGATATCCTTATACAGTTCTGGCACTCGCTCTGGGTCCACAGGCCTGGGCAAGAAGTGTGTGAATTTCTGGTGCCTTCTGGATTTAGTCCCGTCCCTTGGAGTCCCATCTTTGTTTAATGCCACAAAGTATCGCGTCCCTTTGTCTCCGTGTTTATAGAGGTTTGATGAGTAGGTGTTGTACCAGTTTTCCTCAAACTGCTCCCTGAAGACACATTCAGGTGTGAGCTTTTCCTAGAAAATAGATAAAAGGGGTCTTAGATGATAAAAGTCTGAAAGAGGACACCATTTACATCATTTCATAATGTGAAGTGGTCTTGACGATAGAGGTGGATATGAATGAATTAAAATACAACAACAAATTCTGTTAAGGTTATTTAATTTAAAGCAGAAACTCTAAATAAAGCAAATAAAACTTTTTTTTTTAACAGAACTGTTGTGCTATGTTGAAGTTACAATCTCCTCCCATTGAATCACATAGAAGCAGTGCCAAATAATCAAATATCACAATAGATTCTGCAGAAAACACTTCATAATATACTTTAATTGAATTCCTCAACTGTCTCAAATATCAAAGATCTCTACGTGCCTCAAAGTGCAGCATGTGTTAAACTCTAACATGGAAAACCAAGGCTGAAATAAAAATAAATACCTCGGTATATACAGAAAAACATTGCTATGTAATACCAGCTAACTTCTCCACATCAGAAGGAAGAATTCCAGCTTCAAAATTCAGGATATAAGTTGAGTCATCCTGATTTTATCCCTGTGCACATGATATTTTTTTTTCCTGCAGAGACTTTAGTCAGCCTTCTCCAAAGCAGAAGTGGTACTTACAGATCCATAGAGCTCCCCTTTGTCGTTCATCCCCAGGTAAAGCCCACTGTCCACTCCTTTTATGCTTATCAGGCCAACAGCAAGGCTTATGAATTCCAAAATACCTGCAGAAGAATAAGACAGTTGTTCTGTGCATGATCAAAGAAACTCAAACATTGTTTAACCTGGGATTTAAAAATAATTTTATACACAGATATATTTAACTAAATTTGAATCTGTCTTCATGATTGGATTATTAACGTGATTGGAATGAGTCTGGTGTCCTGATTGGACATTTCTTGTGAAATGGACGCTTTGAATGTAATAATTACCAAAACGACTGTGGTCCTTTCTCGTCCCCTGCACCGTGCCATCCGGAAGTATTTCCAGATGAAAGCCAGTCCTGCAGTACAGCTGCCTCCTCCTCAAAATGCCCTTTAAGTGTTTCAGATCCTGCGCGGTGGGCAGGTACCGCCTGTCCCCGGGGGCCAGGTGCTCCCCCAGCAGGATCGGACCGTCCCCGGGAGGCGTGAGGAAGAAATGGGAGCCGACGTGAACGACGCCGTCGATGCCGTGGAGGACGCCTCCAACTTCCCCTAGAGTAGCGGCTGCTGCCATCGCGTCAGCGGGTAAAGTTCAGCAGGTCCGGTGGGAGCGCTCACTGCATGTTTACGTCCTTTGCGCAGGTCCCCGCGGTGCGCGCAAACTCTCCCAGATCTCTGCCGCGCTGATCGGATGGAGGTGGGCTGCAGTCAGCGGCTGTCTGCGCTCATATCGGACACCTGTCCGCAGTGCCGGGTCCTGATGAAGGCTGCAGAGCAGAGCAGGTGAAGCAGCTCCTGAATGAGCTCAAAGTGGCAGGGCTGGTGAGGCAGGTGTAAAACCAGCGCACTAGTGATGGGCGGGGCAGTCACCGCTGAGACTTGCCCTGGCAGGGATTTTTTTTTTCTTTCTCCTGAGGCACAGAATACAAGAGACACAGGAGAATAAGAGCTGCTGGGGAGAAATCCCACCACAGCTGTTTGAATTCAAACCAAGCGCTCAAATTTGGAACCGAAATACTCAAACTAAACTTAGGCTGTTATTATTTTTAAAGCCATTTCCAATAGAACTGATGGTCCAGAGAGATTGGGCTTACATTTTTTTTTTATCAACCTTAAAGCAGGGGCACATCCAGAACATTTTAAAGATGGGCGAATATAGGCACCTTATAATTTTAACTAACACTGCAATGTATAATAGAAT